CCTGCAAGCACGCCAGTGAGAAAAGCCAGGCACAAAAGATCACGTGTTGTGCGGTTCCATCATAAGAAAGTCCAGAACAGGGCAATCGTAGCCAGAACGTGGTGCTTGCTAGGATTGGGAGCGGGAGTGACAGTTAAAGGGGACAGGTCCGTTTCTGAGGTGATGAAAATGTTCTGAAACTGACTGTGGTGGTGGCTGCGAGTGACTGTAAATGCACTAACAAGCACGGATTGTACACTTTTTCAAAGAGAGAACTGTATGGTGCGTGAGTTATACCTCAATAAACGAGTTTTTAAATAAGGGGTGGGGTGGGGAATGGGCAAGGAAGGAGTACTCCATGCTGTGTCCTTTCAGGTCAGACTGTGATCAAGGACCAGCTGGCACAGTGTGCACTCCCGGCTGCACCCACCACAGCCAGATCCATTTTACACAACCGAACAGCTGACAGTTCAAAGGCTGGCTCCCCCTCACCTCACGGGTCCCTGCTCAAAGGCTGGCCCGTCACAGCTGAGGGAGGGGGCGCCCCGGACCACGGGGCCTGAGGTGAGGGGGAACGCTGGTGAGGAGCGGGCACTGCAGAGCCTCCAATGACAGGAGTTCCCTCTTCATCTCAGACTCTGCCAGGCTCCCATGACGACAGTGTCCCCACTGCTCAGAGTTCTTTTTGCATTGGCAACCATCCCCCCTCCCCGCCTCACGCCAGTTTAATCTGATCTTATCACCCCCACCCTGAACCTGCAGGACAAAGTCCAAGCTCCACCACCTGGGGAAAGCCCTCTCTCCCACCTACAGGCCCACCCTGGAAGCAAGCCATGCGCACCCAGAGGGCAGAGCTATGGCCCCAGGAACCCTCCTGGCCTCCTCCCTCTGGGGCCTGCTCTGGGGCCTGCCCCCAGCTGCTCACTGGACCGCTGGCTCCCTCCGCTGACCCGCCAGGGCACCCTGCACAAGGCCAGCGCCCATGATATTCTTTCACTCCACACACATGGAGGCCCGTGTGCGGCAACAGGGGTGCCAGGTGCGCATGAAGCAGACGCAATCCCCGCCCCTGTGGACTAACCCCAAATGGAGAGACCGACCGTAGCAACTGATAAAGAATTACAACCTTCTGCCCGGCCGATGTGGCTCAGTGGTTGAGCACTGACCTATGAACCAGGTCACGGGAGGTTCGCTTACTAGTCAGGGCACATGCCCCGGGTTGCTGGCTCCATCCCCTGTGTAGGGTGTGCAGGAGGCAGCCGATCAATGATTCTCTCTCATTACTGATGTTTTTATCTCTCTCTCTCCCTCTCCCTTCCTCTCTGGAATCCATAAAAATATTTTTTTTAAAAAGAAAAGAATTACAACCTTCCAAAAGGAGGGAAGGAAAGCATGGAGTTATGAGGACAAGGGTCTAGGATAGGGGATAGGTCCTTAGTCGGATAATCAGGGGACATCCCTGAGGAAGGGGCACCTGAGCTAAGAGCCGGGGCGGGAATGAATCCCAAGCAAGGGAACGGCCGTGCAAAGGCACTGAGGTGGGCAAGAGCACGGAGCGTGAGCGGCTGCGGTGGCAGGGCCAGCACGGCACGGAAGGGGCAGGTGGGATAAGATGAGACTGGGGAGGAAGTGGGGGCCAGACTGGGCAGCCCCCACAGGCATATTAGAGATGTCAGGCTTTGTCATCACCTCAGTGAGAGGGGTGGGACAGTTTTAATCCAGGTCGAGCAGTCACAGGTCTGCCTGTCTCCTAACGCCTCGCTCTGGGGCTGTGAGGGCACATCTTGGTGTCCCCCCGGCCTCCCTCCGGCTGGGAGCTCAGCAAACAGTGAGCCACTGCAGAGGAAGTTGTCCTGGTGTTCAGACAAGGTCCAGGGGCCTTTCAGGGGACACCTCTTATCCTTCCAGTTAATCAAGATGGGAAGAAGAGGTGACGGTTGACTCAAACCTTCCCTTTTAAGCTCATACAGGAAAACTGTCACAAAGATCCACGGAGACCACTCCACGTGCCCCTTGGAAGACGATCACCGAAACCCTTCTGGACAATTGTGAGCTGCAGCAGGAGGAGGACACCCCCGCCACACCTCACAGGTGGCCCTGGATGCCAGTGAGAAGAAAGTTCTCTTTGCTCCCCTAAGGCCTGGGGCAAGGACCCTCCACTGCTCCAGCCCCACTGGCCACGTGGGTGAATCCCCAAAAGACCTTTGCCCAGGCTGTTCACTGAGAACTGCGTCTCAGGCAGAGCGCTGGCGGCACCAGGCTGCTGGCTCCACATGAACTTGGCACAGAAAAACAACTGAATCATCCCCACGGTTCTCCAAGCCAAGCCCTCGAGGCCAACTTTTTTTTTTAAGCTTACGGGTGGTTTCTATGGCAACTGGCTTTAGTGATCTGCAATAAGCCCCAGGCCCACACTCTCCAGGCCTGACAAGGGCCGCCAGGAAAATAGCACAGCCTCTCAGCTCAGAGAGGTCCTCTCCACCCCAGACCCTGCAGGCTGGAGGGGGGCATCCCATAGGCAGAATGCTTCCGGGCTGCCAGGACATCTCCCCACACCCCAACCACCTCCCCAGGGACCTGACCGGCGCCTCTGAAAAGGGCCCTTTGAGATGAGCCCGCGGAAGCAAACCATCTGTTTTCTTACAGCAAAATGTGGAAAGACCAGCTTTGCAAAACCCAAGCCCTGGGCTCTGCTTTCCACCTCCTAAACCCAGGCCTCTTTGCTAATGTCTCAGAAGTATTCAAACAGGAATCTGAAAACATGTGATCAGGGTCAAGTGTCAGTCTACGTGGTCTGGCACTGGATTTCACTCTTGTGTGGCCTGCAGAGTGGGACGACAGGTCACCACTGTCAGCACCGTGCCTGGTGGCAGGAAGGCCGGCGAGCCGCTGAGCCCACCTCGTCCCTGGCCCTCTCCCGGCGCCTCTGGGTCCTTCTCTATGCCAGCCTCCGCCTGGCTCCCCTCTTCCTGGGGCCTCTGGAAAGTGCAGCCTGTCACCCTTTTCCCCAAAGGATTGTTCTCTTCACAAAGGAGGCAACGCCCTGTCCTTATCAGATATCCGGCTCCATGCAGAACAGACTGCAGTGAAAATTTATCCCAGAAATCCCGAGGCTGGGAGGTTACCCTGCGGTCACCTCAGTCATCTGAGGCTGGCTGGGTGTGTGTGCCCTGGGTGGGACAGACTCCAGGGACCCGGCAAGACCTCCCTGAGAAATGCACCCGGTGGCTGAAGCCCTTAAACTGCATGTCCCCACATCCCCCTAACATGCTCTCTCTCTAACCTTCTTTTCTATTAAGACCAGAACACAGCGGACCCTGCTCTCCTTTACCGTCAGTGGTCACCTGCCCTGGGCTGTGAGCTGTGTGTCTGGGGGAAACAGGGATGTGAGGCCCCCGGGGGTGGTTGCTCTCTAGCTCCCAGGGCATGGCAGGCTGGGGGTTGTAAAGTCCTTTGTCTTGAAGGAAGCAGGAACACAGCTACAGTAGAAGCGCTCAGCAAACATTAGGTTCTCTAAGGTAATGAACACTGCTCATCGCAGCAACCTGCCCACCTGGAGAAGTATTCCCATTTTACAGAAGAGGAAAGTAAGGCTCAGGGAGGTCATGTGATCAAAGCATCACCTGCACTTGCTACGCCCTAGCACTGTATGAAGCACTGTATGTGCACCGTGTCACCTACTCCTCCCACACTGTGGGAGGTTTCCTGGTACTAACACCATCTATAGATATAAAAGCCTAATATGCACATTGTCCCTGCAGGAGTTCGACCGGGAGACCGATCGCTCGCTACGACGTGTACTGAACACCAGGGTGTGGTGCAGAACAAAGAAAGGCCCCAGCCGGCAGCCAGCAGCCAGGGAAGGGAGGCCCTGGCTGGCAACCAAAAGGCCCCGATTGGCCCTGATCGCAGGCCCAGCCTAGGGACCCTACCTGTGTATACATTTCATGCACCGGGCCTCTAGTTTTATAGTAAGAAACCAGGCTCAGCCAAGCCACAGGGGAACCCAAACATGCCCTTCCCTGTGGCCTCCAGCCCTCGGGAAACATTTCAGGCCACTGGCAAGGCAAAGGCCCCGGAGGGCACCACATGGGGACAGCACCCCCCACCTCCAGGCAACGGGCCACCAGCTGGGCCACAAACAGGCCACACTGCATCTGGCTTGCACACAGGAAGCAGCAATCTGTGGCAGAGTCAGCTGGGAGGGCTGAGAGCCATGGGAGGGAAGGAGGCTGAGGTCACAGACCCCGAACACAGGGGAGGAAGAAAACGCTGTCAGCAGAGGGCTACTGTGTGGCAGTGAGAGTCCCCTTTGTCCCGATAAAGACAGACAGGAGGTCAGCCTCCAATTATCACACTGAAAAGTGTGAGCGCCAGCGTCCCCTCCCACTGGGAGCCCTGCTTCAGCTGCCTTTTCACTGATAATACGACCTTGTCTTTCATGACCCCCGAGCTGCTTTCCAGAGGAATGAATCATGTTCTTGTCCACAGCAGAGAAAATATAGGACAAGTCAGTGGGGGCGAAGGCAGCACCTCCCGAGGTGATGGGCAGGTCACCATGGGGTCAGGACCCAGGCTGCTGGAGAAATGGGCAGGGAGGTGGGAACGGCCAGGAGGGTGTGGTCTGTGCTGAGACAAGTACACGGTGTCTAGGTAATGAGCACAGAGGGGGTCTCCACCACGGCAGTTCCAATCCTAAGACCTCGAGCATGGCAAGAGGTTCCACCTCCTGTGCCACCTCAGAACCGCTGGCCGTGGCTGTGGCTGTGCAGCCGCACCTGGACTCAGCAGGACTCTGATCGCTAAGTCATGCCTACACAGGCAGAGGGCTAAGGGGGTGCCAACCATACCCTGGTTCAATCCCATTTCACACCCAACCAGACGGAGGTCCTGGCAAGGACGTGCCTGACCACAAGCCATGTCTTGGCAAGGGCAGAACCACTCTGGGAACACACACACAGCCAGGCAGTTTAGAAACGCACGAGCCATTCACAGGCTCCCCTCCTCACGTCCCCGCTCACCTGGAACCTGTGCACCAGCTCCAGGGACTGGCTGTCGTTCTGGTCGGCTTCCAGGATGACATCGGTCAGCTTGTGGATGATGACGTCCAGGGGGCCCTGCTCCTCGATCGGCCGGCTGAGGTTCAGCTTCGAGGGGGGAGACAGAGAGAAGAACTTCAGCACCTGAGCCCACTGCCCTACTCTGTCCCCACCCTCCGCACGTCCCTGCAGCACGGAGCAAGGGGTGGGAGGGCTGGCACTCGAGGGAAACAGACAGGACAAAGGGGATCCTAGCGCTCCACCGGGGCAGGCCCCGTGTTTGCACTTCTGTCGCCGAGCCCCACGCTAACAAGGGTGCAGAAGACACACAGGGAATCAAGGTGACCAAGAACCTAAAGGTCGAGCGAACCATCACTGTGCAATTGCTTTATAGAGAGAGAATTTATTGCACACGCCCCCTCTGCCCGACAGCCCAGATTTTCAGGAAGACCTCAGCGAGGTGAAGTCACACAGCCAGACGTGTACTGAGAACCAAGAGGACACTCCACAAAACAACACAAGCTCTTCGCAAAGCAGTCCTCTCCATAAATCTGAGAGCTGCTGCCGAGAGACCAGCTGCTCACATGTCACACTGGAGTCGGGCTGATCATGACCGAGTGAAGGAGCGCAGGGCTGCCTGTGACCCGTGGGTACTGCCCGCCCTGCTCCCCTGGCGACGCCCTGCTCCCCTGGCACGTGTTTACTGTTTTAAGAGCACAAGGGCCCCCAGGGAGCCAGAGCCGCTGGCTGACAGACAGTCGGCACCACCTGACCCCAAGGCAGGAGCACCTGCCAACAGCCAGGGCAGCCTGCCCCGCCAGATGTCTGCCGCCCTGCACGCGGACACCACCACCTGCAAGGCCAGGCCTTTGGAGGCAGCAGGCGCCAGCACGGCACCTGGCTGACCCCCCGGATGGTCTTGGTAGAAGCCAGATGAGCACCAACCCCACCCCTGCCCTCAGCCCCACTCCCCCAACTGGGACTCCCTCCGGGATTCAAGGCTGACTGTCTCAAAGTCGTTAGTAAAGAAATCACAAGGACAGCTACCAATGATGGCTCTAGGAGGCACCGTGCTACAAACTCAGCGTGCAATCATTTCATTTTCCAACCACATGATGAGAAGCGATTTCACAGACGGGTGGAGAACACGGACCTCTGAAACCTGCCTGGGATCTCAGTGAGAAAGCGGGGAGCTGGGACGAAAACAGATCTGAGCCTTCGCTTGTCATTCAGTGCCCCCACCCCAGCCCCTACGCCCTGGGAAGCTGTCCTCTGGAGCCACAACCATCTGGCTGCCTTGTCCACCAAGTCCGGGCAATTGGAAGTACCAATGGGAGATGGGAAAAAGAGAGAGAGAGAGAGAGAGAGAGAGAGAGAGAGAGAGGTCATTTCTGGCAGCAGCCACAGTCCCCGTGGGCAGGGCAGCCCCTCCCAAAGACCACTGCTATTTCTAGGGCTCCCATGCCACCCTCCCTCCCTTTGTCCCCTCAGGCCTGGGGTGGTGACAGCTCCCCCTCCCAGGTGCCTCCTGTGACCCTGCCCAGATTTAAACTGTTTCAGTTAAACCTTCACACTGTGCCAGCTCATTCCTGCTGATATCCTTAACTCCTCTTTTTTACTGTCTGCCAGGAAAGATGTTAAGGGATTTCCCCTATTAAAAAAAAAAGAAAATAATGAAGACTCCCCTTCCCATGGCGACTAGCCTGTATACAAAACAAAACAGAAAGCGGACCAGAGGAGAGGCCGACCCCCTCTTCCGGGCTCCCGGGCGGGAAAGAGGTGATGGTCCTCACAGCAAGCCCAACCTGGCGATGATGTTCCCGCCTGCACACACCAGGACACCAGAGCTCAGAAGGGAAGGTGACCGCGAAGGCCACGCAGTTGGGAAGCGGCCCAGCTGAGGCCTGGACAAAAGCCAAACAGCAACACCACTGGGCTCAGGCCCCAGCCGAGCTGCCAGGCATCCTGGGCCGGTGCAAACGCCCAGCTCAGCATCCCCTGGGCCTCAGTTTCTCCTTCAACCAAAACAGGAAACAGCTAGGGCCTTGCTGGTTCTGTCCGCAGAGTCTGTATGACAGTCTTTCCCAGAAAGAAAGCAGAAAGTGAAAGCAGACAGAGAAGTCAGTGGGAGGGCAGCGTGGGAAAAGAACAGCCAATTCTCAGAAGGTGCCACGGCCAGGGACCCACTTCTGCTGTACCCGTGGCTCTGCCGAGACGGGCACCACAAATAAGAGGCCAGTATTTTCAGACCAAGCCAGCTACACCCGGCAGAGAACCAGGTCCCATGAGGGATGCTGGGCCGTGCACCCCGGGGCCAGTCAGAAACTCCATCCCCTTGAGAACCTCCCGGGTCTCCTGTGCAGCACGAGGGACGGAAATCAGCCCGAGGAGCCGGGGTCCCAGGTGGCAGAGGGGATGCCCTGTCTCATCCTTGCGGGCATCAGCCAGGGCTGTAGACCTGACAACCAGGGGCTGTTTGGAAAATAAGCTCTCCGCGTTCCCGGCTGCTCCGCTGAAGGTAAACAGTCGAGTTCTGGACGCCAGCCACCTTCCTTTGTGTATTTTCTGAGCGTTCTTGTGCCAGTATAACCCTTTCACGATAAAGCGACCTGGGACACACATCAGGCCGTCTGTCCCTGCTCGGCCATCCCTCCCTGCAGTGTCTTTGCTGTAACAGTCTGTCCAGCACGGCTTTACTCAGGTGGCCAGAGAGGCACTGGCCGGGGAGGAGGAGACAGGCTGCTCCCTCAGGAGGGGCCCTCAGAGGACAGGATGTGCAGACGAGGGGACCCTCAGAGGAAGGGGGATGCCACAGAGGAGGGGACCCTCAGAGGAAGGGGGATGCCACAGAGGAGGGGACCCTCAGAGGAAGGGGGGTGCCACAGACGAGGGGACCCTCAGAAGGGGACGCACCTCTGTTTCCAGACGGGGTGGGCATGGGGGCTCAGGCAGAAGTGAACTCATTTCCATTGTGTCATTTTGTCTTTCTGACCTCGCTCTGTCCCCAGAGAAAACTTTCCAGGGGACTTGTTGTTCTTTTCCACAGAAGGGGTTCGATCGGTCTCCCTCTGTGAGTAACAAGGCTTCTCAGTGAAAGGGCCGCCACTGGGGCCGGAGGAGGTCTGCGGGCACCGCGCTTCCAAGTCACGCCATCCTGGGAGGCCAATGCTGGATGCTGCCTGTGCCGTGCTCAAACCCGGGAAACAAGGGCCCACTGTTCCCTCAGCGGCGGTGGCGAGGCAGCGAGGCAGGCTAGCAGTGGGGGAGGGCTGGGAGGGGGTGAAACAAAGGCCTGCCAACCCCAGTGGCTGGAAAGTCACCTCCAACTTCAAACAGGCAACCCAGTCATGCCAGCCGCAGCCGAGGCAGCCAGGCTCTGCCTCCCCACCTTCCCGCCACCTGGTCGGGAGGAGGACGGGCACCGCAGATGCGAAAACCCATGGAGGCTCAGCTGCTCCCAGGCTGCAGCAGGTCGCTTATCTGATCGGTGCCTCGGTTTCCCCATTCATAAAATAAGGATGCGACTCTGTTCCCTCTACAACGCTCAGGGCTGTTTAGATGGATTGGAACATGTGTTTATGGATGCGGCACAGGGTGGTGTTCAGCCCATGCAGGCCGTTAGCTCCCCCCACCGACCGCCCCTCCCCCCCACCTCTGAGTGCTCAGGACAACGCTTCTGCTTGCTCGCTCACTTCTTCCACAAGCATTTCCTGGGCACCTGCTGTGTGCCAGGCCCCTGCCCTCTCCTGTCAGGCAGAGAACGCTGGTTCACTCGGGAGGCAGACTCAGGCGAGGGAGACAGCCACATGCAGCTCCATATCCCACGGGGAGACACGCCCCTCTGCCTGGAATGTCCCCCTGCCCCCAGAGCCCCTTGTCCACACAGTGAGCTCTTACTTGTTTTCCAAGTCCCAGCTCAAAAGTCTTCTTCAAACAACTCACCCCTCCCCAAGCAGGATGATCGATGGCTGAATGTGTGCTAATGCAAACCACGCTTTAAAGAAAAACGGAACACTGGACACCAACTAGAAGGGACGTTCAATGAAGCAAGGTGACCCTTTCCTGCTCTGGGAGTTAGAAGCAGACTCCTGGAGGAGCAGGTGTCTAGGCCAAGCCACGGAGGAGGGAGAGGGTGGGGAAGGAAGGTGAGATCCAGGGAGAAGGCAGCTACAGGATACAGAACTTGTCTGCACTAAACACACCTTCATTTGTCAATTCCAAATGCCTCGGTGCCCCAGGCTACCACCTCTGCAAAAAAGAGCGTGTCCTACAGCACCAACCCCTGACGGGCACCTTGGGAGGGGGGCCCACGATCCCTCCTCATGCCTCCTCTGCAGGCAGGAAGCAGAGGATCCCATAGAAGCTGCCAAGGCCTAGAGGGCCAGGTGCCTCCCATGACCAGGACTCTGCTGTGGTATAAACTAATAAAGATTCAGTATGTTAAGCCCAAATTGGGGGTGGTATATGCACTATCCGTTAGCCTACCCTATCTAATATAGTCCCCAAAGAGAGAATGTGGGGGGGCTGGAGGGGGTTAGGAAGAAATCAAAGACAGGGGATTCTCAGCTGTATTCCCAGCTCTCCCTTCTCCCCCAAACTTCCCCACGTGCTTCCCCGACATGATCAATAACCAGCTACACATGAAAGAAACAGAAAAGTGTCTCCGGGGCTCACCAGGGAGGCTGGGGACTCAGGAAACTTGGCTCCGACCCCACATGCAGGCTGCTCCTCTGTGGATGCAAAAGGCAATGTGCTATGTGAGCTGGAAGCCATTTGCAGGCCTGAGCAGCCCAAACAAGCTGCATCGGACTTGCCCGCTGAGAAGGCCCCAGTGGAGCCAGCATGGGAGTCAGGCAGGTGAAGGCCTGGCCTGTGCGGTCTCCCCTCTCTGGGAACCTCGATGTTGATCCTGACATTAGTGTGCAGCTCTCGCACACCTGCTCTGCACTGGGCTCTGTTCTAAACACTTCACACGCATTAACTCATTAAATGCTCCCAGCAGCCTGAGATGGGGACCAGGAGAGAGGCCCAGCGGTTAATAACCTGCCGAGGTCTCAATGCTCACGCCCACGCTCACGCTCACGCCCACTCCTAGACCTGGCCAAGGA